CACACACACACACACATGTATATATATACATATGTATGTATATATTTATGTGTGTCTGTGTATACATAAATACAAATATACAAATATATGTATATACATATGTATGTTTATGTGCATGTGTATATGTATATCTGTATGTGTGTATGTGTATAAATATATGTATTTATGTATGTATGTATCTATGTATATGTTTGATTTGTTGCCATATTAGTATGAAAATATGTTAATTGTTTGAAATACTAACAATCGCTTGGCAAAGTTGATGCACCACAGTGATTGCAAATCAGGGCTGCCATATCTCAGGGATGTAATTTACTTTGAGAACACCAATGGAAGTTATCAGACTATAATATTAATTCACTTTTTTCACACAAAACTCATGTTACACAGTTTCTGAATAAATGTTATATTTTGTTTGGATAAATATAAGAGTAACTGATGATAGATATGAAGAACTTTAAATCTTTTTTGTTAGCTTACAGAATGATATATATAATAGTGTGTATCCAAATGACTACATGAAATTCTCTCTCATACTCTTAAGTAGCCACATGGCTACCATGGTCAATATAGTGTTTCTTTGCATGTAAATCTCTCACTCTCTCTCTCTCTCTCTTTTCAGCAGGGGGGTGGAGGGTAGTGAATGAATGACTTCATGATGTAGGGCTGTCCATGCTGCAATCATAGGACTATGGCATTCATAGTAAGAACATCCATCATCTTAGTGGCCAGCAATCTAGAAGAAAGATACAAGGTCAATATAAAACCAGTTCAAATGAAAACCTAGGCCTCATTCTCCATATCACAAATAAATCTTATGCTGATATCAAAGACACTCTAAACAGCAGATAAAACTCAAACATTTTACTCACATCAAAATAATCTTATTCTAGAAAAAAAGTAATACCCAAAATTGAAACCCATTCATGATGAATTTAAACCCATTTCTAAGCAGATATAAGGAAACTTACCACTGCCAGCTTGCCTTCCTTGTTCTTGTCTATAGTGGTGATATTGCTGCCTGTTCCCAGGAGAATAGTGCCTTGCTTGCCATTCTTCATGGTGTGTCCAATACTGGGAAATGGATTGCAATTTTTTATATTCAAAATTATAGAGGAAATGGAAAAAATAACAATTTCACCAAATAATAAAAATATCTAAAATCAAAAAGCATTTAATACAGTCTACGTCATTTCCAATAATCAGAAAACAGATATTAAATGAAATTCACAAAAACATAGAATACTGTATAAAATCTTAAGCCTTACGTCTCTGTCTCAGCAATCTTCAGCACTTCTGGGTTGTCACTGATTGAAATCATCTTTGTCACAGCCTCAATGACATTTGGAACATTGAGGATGAGGTCACCCTGTGGAAATTGGATGAGTAAATTAGGGAAGACGACAAGAGTTTTTACCTCAACTGCAGGCTATGTGTGAATCTCGAAAAACATGTAGAAATAAAAAAAGACATGACCTGCATCATTTTTCTTTCTAACTATCTCAAACAACCTTCACTTAGATATATACATATTCTACCATAAATGACAAAATGTGTTATAAAATGGATGTGTTATTTTTAGCAAAGTCTATTCTTATTAAATGTGTCCTTATTCAGTGCAATCAAATTATTTCTCAATACCTGTTCTCATCAAGACCAGAGAATTTCAGCTTATTTTATCATGGTTTTCAATCTGTTTACATATATAAACATCTCTCTTTATTTAAATACTCACCTTATCTCTTTTGGCATTTTCTACTGGGATCTGAACCAGGAGAAGGTTGTCTGTGTTGGGAGACACATGGAGCCCCTGGACCTCCTTCAGGGAGAATCTGTGCTTCTGTTTCAGCTTGTTCTCCTTGGCCTCCAGCAGATATAAGGCCCCAGATGTTAGGATCAGCAGGCGGTCCCGAGGCTTGTAGCCATGACGGTCATACTTAGTGCATGGGATGCAGTACTGCCATAAAGAGTAAAAAAGATTATTGAAATTGGTTAAGATTTCTATGATTATAAATGGAGAGCACTGACAACTTATGGCAAGTAACTTATCAGTCACTTAACTACACAATAAAAAAGGTCATGTCAATATCAGTACGCAGAAGGTAAAAGATCATCCTTACCTTTGTTTTTTCTCCTGGGGTCTTGATGATGTCTTCGAAGGCTGTTTTTCTCAGATTCTCGTCTTCTGGAGTGAGCCTTGAGGTCATGAACCACTGAGGAAGACTGTCCATGTAACTAGTTTTCTGACCTGTAATTTTGTCAAATTTATAAGTTATTTAATCCAATCACAGCAGATTACATATCATATATCTCTCTCACGCACACACAAACACACACACACACACACACACACACACACACACACAGAGAGAGAGAGAGAGAGAGAGAGAGAGAGAGA